TCTCTCTGCTGCAGCTCAGTGTGTGTCCGCGTCACATCAACACTTCCACCCTGTGTGCAATAACGATATCAGTCAGTATGAAGAAAGAGCAGCTCAGCAGAAATGACTCGTGTCTCACGCAGCAGCTGCCTTGTCTGTTTTCAGACTGAGATGTTGCTGTTGTTGCACAACACTGAGCCCAATATAAACCTAGGATGAGATTCCTCTCATATTATAATCTATTTTGGATGAGGAGATCTGCCTGGAGGTGTTTTAGTTTCAGATTTTATTGTCTTATTGGCCTCAGGGCTGAGGATCATGGAAACATTTGGCCCTGATGACTGATTATAAGAAACGTTTTGAGGTTCCACACTTTTGTAACCATGCACTGCAGGATACTACTCAGTTTTGTAGTATCTGCTGTTACTGTAAAGTGAATACCTTCAGATTTTGGGCAGTTGATTGGGCAAATCAAGATATTCAGTGACTCTGGGAAACGTTGATGCACAGTTTTCATCATTTTCTCACATTTCAAAGACCAGTTGAAAAGATAAGTGAGAGATTTATCATAATGAAAATAATCTTAGCTGCTGCTGTATTAACATTTCCAGTTGGTGAGCTAACTGCGGTGCATTATCTTGGTGTCTGTTAAACCTTAAAACATGGACTTAATGGTTTGTGCTGTTTGGCAGCACATCCACGCGACACACCCCTTTGGATTTAGTTTGTCATGCAGTGCTGTTATAGGTCTAAACCTCGTCATTGTGCTGCCTCTGCTGCAGCCAAAGTGCTGTGGATTTCAGCCATCATAGCCCCCAGCTCTTTTGTCCCTTAAGATCAGAGGTTGTCTGCACAAGGCTTTAGTTTCAGATGGACAAACAGGTTAGAACAGCTTGGTCTGTCCTGCACAACAAGTCTCTGCGTGTGTGTATGAGCACGCACGTGCATATTTGCAACCGTGCGTGTTTGTTTCATCCCCTCACATTGTGCATGTTTTGCAGTCGGTGTTCATCATTAGTGTGGCCGGCGTGGGCGTTGCCATGACTTCCACACTGGAAACTGAACCCAGAAATGTTGGGAATGTTGTGTGTGAAAGGTGTTTTATTGTTCATTTGGTAGCAGATGTGAAGCTCAGCAGGCTTTGGTGTTTGTGACAAAGGTCAGCGTGCTCCTTGGTTTCTGTTTTGCTCAGTAGTGCTTCTCTGCTCTCACGTAGTTTGCTGTCACAAAATTCCCAATAACTTTCTAATAACACTGGTTGTTTGGAGGCTTCAGGCTGAACTGAAGCAGTTTTTAAAATCAGTCTTCCTGCTTGTTTAATGTTATGTGATAGTAAGTGGGATCATTTTGGGTTCTGACTGTTGGTCAAAAGGAGCCCTCAAACGTGACTTTAAAGGTGGCGGATCTGAAGTCGAGCAGCACCTACAGCTCACAGCAGGTCTGTGTAAATGAATGAACAACAACAGCCTCTCTGCTGTCCTGTTGGATTCTCAGTTTGATAAGTGAGAGCGGATTGTCTTTCTGTGTGAGCCCGAGTTGAGCATGCTGCGTGGATTTGCTCACCTTATCTCATGTTTAGTGGCAAACACACGTCTCCTGAAAATAAGCAGCTACAGACACTGGAGCTCTGAGACTTTGTGGGTTTTTAATTGTAGGCTCAGCTGACACAGGCCAGGCGCTGAGTGCATGGAACAACCTGTACTTGTTGAGCAGCCTTGTACCGAGTGTATGTTCTCAAGGAGTCAGTAGACTCTCGAGTCACTCTCCAGTCACTGGGTTAAGTATGTCCCCTGGGGTTCTACTTCCTCTGAAATATTGACTCGGCGCCACAGGGAGAGGTCTCTCACACGCGCACACACACACACACACACACACACACACACACACACACACTCTGCCTTTTCCATTACATGATGTCTTTATCTCTGTCGCCACAGTAATCTCCTTTGGAACAAACAATGATCAGCTGATTAATATGCTCGGAGGCTTTCGTACCGTGGGGCATTGCTGACCGATGTTCATCCCATCAGAATCACACCTCAAGGCCCATGAAACGATTCCTACCTTATGTGGTGTAATTCCTCAGTAATCAGGATTTCGGGTTTGGACATAACGTGTTAAGAGAAGAGATGATTTGATAGGAGGGTCAGAAAGACGGGGAATGTCAGGAACATTACAGTGGCTTTATTTGGATGTCTACACTCATGACTGTGCATCGTGTCTTCTCTGAGCCTGTGGTGTATTGCATGTAATTAAGACAACATGAAGCTCTGACGCAGGCCGTCGTCCTGGAGCAGACGCTGCAGCGGCCGATGCTGCTGGTCTCACTGGAGCAGGGCACTGTGGGGTTCCTGCTGCTGATGAGCTGTCTGACCTTATGAAAGATGCTTCTACAGTTGACAGAGTCGTTTAGAGAAGACCTTCATGATGATCGCCACTGTCAACAGGGTCTGTTCAGTTTTCTCCAGATTGGGTCTTTGTAAGAAGTGAGTGATGCTTGTCTTCACCGGCAGGATCCACTCCTGCACCATGGCCATCATGGAGGTCATGGAGAACAGCACCTAGTCCACCTTACTGGTCTCCAAGATGTGCTTGCAGATGACAGAAGGGGATTCGGACTTTCTGATTTGGACTTCCTTAGGACATGACTGTCCTAACGTCAGGACACATCACTGCTCCTGAAGATCAGCAGATCCCACATTTACTTTTCAGACCTTGACCACTACCTCTACCTGTACAGGGCGTCTACTGAGTGCTGAGGTTGTCGCCACATGTCAGATGATGCAGAGCTACATGGCACATCATCACAGAAAATGATGCACTGTTCTCCAGGAAATAAAAATATCTATTTCACGTGTTCTGTCTGTGGCTTAACAGGTAGAGTGGGTCGTTTGATTCCTGGCTTCTCCAGTCTACGTGTTGCAGTGTCCTTGTGCAAGACATTGAACCCCTAGTTGCTCCCAGTGATATCACCATCCATTTAGTAAAAACACCAAACTTTTATTGTTCACAGCTTTTCAACCTCAAAGGTTGGTTGGCTTCTCTTACACAAATATAACACCTTTTGGACTTTTTTAATCAGATTAAATAAGCTGTTTACAAATATAACACCTTTTGGACTTTTTTTTTAATCAGATTAAATAAGCTATTATGAAAACATCAGTTTGTGCTGGCAACTTGGCAGATGCACTTCTCAGGCATTTTAAATGTTAAATGATAAGTGGTGTTCTCAAAAGGCTCCCAGCAAATGAGCTTCACAAATGAAAATAATCGGCCCTCATGTCCTAGTAAGAGCTGTTTGGACTGTTTGTGATTTGTCACTTAGCCAGAGATGAGTGTTTGGCCTCGTTGTTCCATCTCGAGACTTTTCCATCCAGCTAAGTGGACACAACATCATTTTCCCACCTCGACATCTTGTGTGGTGACCTCAGACTCTCACAGTAAAGACAGATTCTAAGTCCCATGGCTCTACTCGGGTGGTAAGCCCAAGCAAGGTCAAAGCTGAGAATGTGTGTTGATCTCATTGTGGCCACTTTGCCAAGACGTGCAGACAGACAAGTGGTCTGTGTCACACAGTAGATGCTGTTTTTTGACTGAGTGAACATATTTAGGAATCAGATTGTTTCACTTCCCCTCACCTATCTTGTTGTTCAGATCTAATGTATTAATATTGTGCATAAATGTGTGTGTCTGTGAGACAGAGGGTAGTTTATAACAGCTGCACATGTTGTTTGTCTGGGTGGAGGGAAATGATACACCCAGGAGCCAACCCCCCCCGATGTCCTCTGAGCGCTTCCCGCTGACAGCATCATGAATAATTCAGAGCATCACCGGGAAAACCTCGGCGCTTGTCCGTGCACGGCCATGCAAGCGGTTGGCATCCATCACCTGAGTATTCAGTAGGGTGTGTGTGTGTGTGTGTGTTTGTAGCAACGGTCACGGCCAAAGTCCAGGCTTCACGATACCCATAATGACCCGTACACATTAACAGGCTCTGTGGTGCGAGCAGAGGGAGTGGGTGGATCAGAGCCGGCGTCCTGATCGAGGGGCTCGGCCTGTTTGTGTGCATCCGCTCAGTCACGTGTACGTTGATAATAAAATATAATAAATATGGGCTACCACATTGAACATACACGTATCAACACACCTGCCTTCCTCAGGATGTCTGACATCCTATTATCAACCACCTACTTGACCCACATCTTTAACCTGTGCTCCTCTTTGGCTCATTGCTGCCATTTATTGCAAATTACCACCATCAACATGTTGCAGTTGGTGCCTTCTGCACAGACAGGAGTGTTTTAAATACTTAATGTGCAATATGCAATGCTACACTGTATTTTAGTGCAAATCTGGTAGATACAATTAAAATAGGTGTGCAGCACAGTGCAGCTAGGTCTGCAAGTGTATAACATATAGTGTATATATTGTTTGTCAGAGATTTAAATGGTCCATATGAAGTCACCTCATCAGGTTTTAACCACTTTCCTTCTGTGAATATTAAGGGAATAGTTATTTTACAACATCCCAAACAATGTGGCTCTAATCCTACAGATGCACTTGTTCTACATGTACTGATTAATGGTTGGATTGAGCCGATAACGTGGCTAACACTTGTCTTTGTCTCACTCAGGAAAATCCCACCTGGCCATTGTGCAGAAGGTGAACAACGAGGGGGAGGGAGATCCGTTCTACGAAGTGTTAGGGTTGGTCACCCTCGAAGATGTGATCGAGGAGATCATTAAATCGGAGATCCTGGATGAATCTGACCTTTACAGTGAGTCTGACCTTTTGTTTGTCACTAATATTTACCTTTGCCTGTCTGTTTGTGTAGATAAGCTTGTTTTCATGTCTTACTTTTTTTATTATCTAAATAAATATGTAACTGGTGAAGGTTTGAAAGGTTAAGTGGCTCCTGTTGCTTTGCAGTACAGCTAAGAGGATTTTTAACGTACACCTTTTCTATGTGCATTTCATAATAACTGTTTCCATTGTGTGTGTGTGTGTGTGTGTGTGTGTGTGTGTGTGTGTGTGTCACTCAGCTGATAACCGCACCAGGAAGAGGGTGGCGCACAACAAGAACAAGAGAGACTTCTCAGCCTTCAAACATGAGAGTGAATCAAAAGTGAAGATCTCTCCTCAGCTGCTGCTGGCAGCCCATCGGTTCCTGGCTACAGGTGGGGGGGTGGCGGACTGAAGGCAGCATGCACACACAGACCTACACAGTCACCTGTCACAATATTACTTAGACTCAGCAGGTAGAGCAGGTGTGCATGTGAACATGTGTAGCAGCGATGTGGTTGTCACCTCGCCAACTAACAAGCAGATCAGGTTGGCAAGTAACAAGTGAAAGGAATTCAGAGCGAGCACAACAGGGAGCACAACACAAGCATCAACACAGGCAATACAATCATACAATAACAATAATAGTAATCATTTATCCTGGTAGGGGGGCCAGATGTATAGCACAGAAGAATTTCAGGCTACGCAAGTTCACAGTTCATAATCTGATATTCACATGAGATCAACCAAGGAATCATTAATTACCAATAATGAGTCAATTGTGTAGGTTGCTTAAACATAAATATGAATTATTAGCTGATAAAGGATTTATTCATGTCTTGGACATCGCGTTTAATATTATTTATCCCATTTTTAGAATCATAGTCTTGATCTGAAATGACAGTATGAATGAACATGTGAACACAGAGCGTATCGATAGCACTGGTAGCTCTGCTGCTACGAGCGCTCACCTGGCTCACAGACGCTGCCGTACACAGCCAGACACTGTCTGCAGACCGTGCCAGTGTCCGCTACCTTCTAATGCCTTTGTCACTACAGCATGTTGGTTTAATCTTTCTTCTTGAATTATGTTTTTCATTCCTCTAGTGCTTGTGTTTGATTTGGTCGTGTCCAGGAAGTGACCGTTTCCCTGTTTCATTTCCTCTTTTTTTTGTTCACATCAGTGATCATTGTCCTGCTGTTTTTAGATTGTGTCCCCTTGAAATTGATATCTGTCTTGGGATGTCTGAGGCATGCACAGCTGCATTCCACACAGGGAAAGTCTGGGAGTTTTTCCATTATAATCTAACACTCCAGTGCATTGTCTTGCATCAAGAAGCTCCGTCAGCCTGACTGTTTGTTTTCTGAGCTGGAAAAACAAGCATTAACAAACCAGCCTATAACATTTATACAACGTGAAGGTGTTGTGAGTTAAGTTTAAAAACGTTTTGTATGTTTATGAGTAAACCTGCTGACATAATATATGAACTAAAATAAGAAGTATTTGTCTTTTAGGCGATTAATCCCAATTAAAGCTATACACAGTATGTCTCAGCTCTGACTGTGTGTTGCGTAAGCTTTAGTTTGCAGGGTGGACTGTTTCTTTGTTCTGAGTCTGGGTGGGGACCAAGGCGCTCGTGGCCGAGCTCTGATTGCAACAGCCTGGTCTACAACTATTGAGAAATGCATGTCAGCCAAATGCAGTATCTCCATTTCATCTTTTGAACAGGGACAGCACACATGAATCAACATCACTGTGAATGTCACCGGTTAATGCACCTTTAAGTCGGCCAGACTGTACCCCACTGTCCCAGCACTTTGCACCTGAAGCTGATTCTGTTTATCTCACTTAAAACATATTGTGCATCATATACTTTTAAAGTGTGTTTGAACAACTTTTGTTTTCCCTTTAATTAATTCAGGTTAAGGCAAAGTTTATGTAATTTGTAGCATTACAGTAGGAAGTACAGGATATCCCTGCTTCAGATCACATGTACTGGACACACCTGTTTACCTCACTGACAACTCCATGAAGTGTTGCATGTCAGCCCATGAACCTACAGTGGTAACAGTCAAAATAAAAATAGTGACTGGCTTCTGACCATATCAATTTCCACGGATTTATTACAGCTTTATGTTGCAGAGCAGTTTAATTTGGAAATGAAACTCTCTCTCTCTCTCTCTCTTTCTCTCTGTCTCTCTCTCTCTGCAGAGGTGAGCTTGTTCAGTCCGTCTCAGATCTCAGAGAAGGTGCTGCTGCGAATCCTGCGCCATCCTTACGTCATCCAGGAAATCAAGTTCAACGAAAATGACAAGCGCTCGCCTCATCACTACATCTATCAGAGAGGCAAGCCGGCCGACTTCTTCGTTCTCATCTTGCAGGTATGCAGTGAAACAGCTGTTTCACTAAGTGCACGTTTTATCCTCCAGTGCAGGGGTGTCAAACTCAATCGCACAGGGGGCCAAAACTCAGAGCACACTTTAGGTCGCGGGCCGAACAGGATAAAAATGTATTGAACAGACTAAAACTAAACGTTTTTTGAACTATGAATCGAAACAGATGGGTTACAATATTATTCCAAAATAAATAAACTTAAACTTTAAATAACTTATAATATTTTGCTTTCCATAAAAATATTTCCTGTCAGAATTATACAAATTCAAAATATGAACATGCTGCAGAAAACCTAAAAATAGAAATTGTGCTTTTAAGTAAAAGTTAAAATAATAACAAATCAAAACCTTTCATTTTCTTTGCTCTTATGCCATTTTGTCAGAGCTGGATGCTTGGCATCTTTTCTTGGCAATGAGTTCGTTTATGTTTGGGGCATATACTCAGCCTCCTTACAAATTCAAAATATGAACATGCTGCAGAAAACCTAAAAATAGGGCTCTGTTTTCAGAATCAACTTTTCTCTTGGCCATTGTTAGGGGCTAACTTTGACTTGAAATTAGGGTCATCAACAGACGCTTCATTGATCTGTTGTAATTGACACGGGAATGATCGCAGGTAGCCTATTGTTTGGTAAGGCAGCTGTTGAGCGGCATTATGGGATTTGTAGTTTGTGTGTTATCAGCGCTTCATATCGCCGGGCCATTAAAAAAAAGATATATAAAATGATCTCGTGGGCTGGATGTGGCCCGCAGGCCTTGAGTTTGACACCCCTGCTCCGGTGGAATGTGGGAGTTGTCAACAGCAGCTCTGAATACAAAACTCGTTAGTTGCTTCAATGCTGTCAGAAGTGGATAGAAAGGAGATTTGGCTTATTCTGCTTTAGAAATTCTTTTTGATTCCTCTTTCTTCTTCTCACACAGGCAGATAGATTGAAACATCCCCCTACACACACCTGTATACACCAACACATTCAGAGTGGAAGAATATCTAGTTTTACCACAACCAAATGTACAACGTGGTCTGTATCTACAGTTGGTCACCTTGGAAGCATCAGCTGACAAAGCAGCCTGGACACAGTGTCCTTTTAGTTCTGGAGCTTTCAGTCATGAGATCATCACATGATCTTCATCAGCAGATGAGGTTTTCCTAACTAGAGTTGTCATGGAAATCCATGTTGGCTTAGGAGCTGAGTTAGATTTTGTTTGTTGTGTTTCCATAAAGATTGCGATTTAGCAATCCTCTGGCCCACTGTGATGACCACACCCTGCCCTCTAAATGTCACCCTCCCACTGCTTCAGCCGGGATCAAAGCGGTGCACTTTGGATTATGAGACTGACCTTCCACACACACTCTTCATCTTACCTTTATTTGACCTTCATCTCCACCTCCTACTCTTCCTCTCCATCTGTCAAGTCATCCCCTCACTGAGTGTGTGTGGAGCTTAGCGCCATTGAGCAGTCTGCTTTGTTTTTAAAGCTGCAGCCGGTGACAGATGGCGGTAGGTGTTGTACACGGCGCTGACCCGACAGACGCCCAGAAACTGTTAATAAAACTCGAGAGTTTGCTTTAGTGTGTGTTCACAGTAATTTGACCTAATTGAATCATTTATGGTTTTAAAAATTCAGTGTGAAAAGGCTCAGTTCTCTCTCAAAGCCTTTAAAAGTAGCTCAGTCACAAACACAGTGCTTCATAGCTGTAGGTTATTCAGATCTGTGACAGAAGAAGAAGAAGAAGATGAGATCCAAGCAGCAGTTTGGAAAAGTCAGTCGACTCTGTAAGTAGATTAGTCAGTTACTTTAAAGGTTCAAAGAGCCAGATTTGGCGGCAATCCAGGCCGGAGGCGGTTAAAGTTGTCCTCTGCTGCCTTTTCCAACACAAACCAAGGCCTCAGCCATGGCTGTGAAATGTCTGCAGTTCTGTCCTTCAGCAAACTAAAGGACAAACTGTGGGTGAATCATTGCTTTACAACCAAGTAAATTGCAGGTTGTAGCTCACGTACTGTTTGTACACACAGTTGATCTGCTGCTGAACTGTGATCTGTGATATCTGGTTCACCACATATTTATTTATTTGATGATAAAAAAACATCATTATTTTTAATGCCAGCATACAAGGGGGGTAGGAAAAGATAGTGACCGATACACTAAAACCAACCTGAGAAGCTCTACGTCCCTCTGCATGTTCGCTCAGTGCAAACACACAAAAATCACTCACACTGCTTTAGCACGTCTGCTGTATCCACTCTGTGTACATGTACACGTGTGTTCAAATCCCACAGGGTGGGAAAATTACACTTCATTGTCTTGCTCTCACTCTTTTCACACACATTTGTTTCCCACACGTCACTTATGTCGTTGTCCCCCAAACAGTTATTAGTAGGGTCAAGTAATCCGGGGATCTGTGTCGGCTGCCTCCCCCGCCGCTCGTCTCGGGGAGATTCTCTCCTGGGAGGCCGGATATCGACGCTGCTGTGAAGACCCCACATGTGGAATAATCTGCTGAGACCTTTTGGGCGGGGAGAGGCTTTTAGTGTCAGCATGCTAGTGAGGGAATTTTCCACTGGTGCGTTGTGAAGCGAACACCTAGTCTTACATGACTTGTGTTTTCCCCTAAGTCTTTACACATACATACGATGTCCACTTAGCAACCTAACATGTGAGAGAGATACTGTAGAAACATGTGTTAATGGCTAATTGTTACGTAGGGTGCCTTTACTAAATATGCACCAGTTTTAGTCACTTTACAGTGACTAAGCATTGGCAGTAGATTATTAATTCGTTTGCTGGTAAAATAGCATAGCTAAAAAAAAAAAAATTACTCTTGTGCTAGCTTTTAAATTTCCACAAGTAAAATGAAAATTAGGCTAAGTGTGTGCATAGCCCGTTTGTTTTAAATCGCATTAAAATGATCATTAATGGCAATATTTACATTAAAAAATAGGTCTGGGGATAACGTTCAATCACAGGTGCCTATGAAGCATACAGTCGGTGACAAACCACTGGGTCATAACAACGACACACCCTCTATAAGTTCCGGGCTGTGATTAGCACGTCAAGAATCGCCTTTAAAGGTGAACCTTGACTCGGTTCGGAATCTTCTGTGAATACTTCTGTGTAGAAAACAGTACGTGTGGGAGAACCCTCCTGGTTTCAGTCACATTTTAGATGCGATGTTTCATCTGACGTCTTCTGTTATTACACAAAATGTTGCTTCTTGTTTGTGTTGCTTTCCATCAATGCAGGTGTTTCAGACAACAGGTAAAATAAGGTTAAGTTAAAGGATTTCAACAGTTATTTAGGAACACAAAACCCAGGAATGGAAGAACTACTTTCCTCTGGTCTCCTGCTATTAAATATTAAATTTCAGTCTTTAGAGAATGATGATCCCGGCGCCATGTCTTTAGAGAATGATGATCCCGGCGCCATGGCCCTTTGCTAAGGGCCGTCCGGTCCCTCTACGACTGGAGCAGGAACTTGGTTCGCATCGCCGGCAGTAAGTCAGACTTGTTTCTGGTGCATGTTGGACTCTGGCAGGGCTGCCCTTTGTCACCGGTTCTGTTCATTATTTTTATGGACAGAATTTCTAGGCGCAGCCAGGGGCCGGAGGGAGTCCGGTTTGGGGACCACAGGATCTCGTCTCTGCTTTTTGCAGA